CAAACCAATCTTATATACTAAATTTATTGGGTAATACTAAACTTCCTCCGTCATCATAAAAGTATATGAGGCATTTAGTTTGCTTTAAAGTTCGGTTTGGTTTTCGCCGGAACTCTTTGAAAGTCATTAGACTAAATGACTTTTGGATAAACCCTTCTTACTAACTTGCTTTTAGCGCTACAAGATGAGATTATTACTTTAATCTTTGAGGGAAAAAGAGTGCAGAGACAATTGCTGTTTTATTGCAAATTATTCAACTCTAAAAATAGTTTTTTTGGTCAGTTATCATGTGACCTCTTCGCCGCCATGTTGGAAGAACCAGTACTGACAAACGTGATCTTGGGATGTTTACTTTTATCAAATAAATAATTATGGATCATATGTTTGTTGTTAATTCGCTTGAAGATGATTACAAATCTTTTTTTTTTTATCTGAGTTGGTATAAACTAGCTGCCGTCGAAAACTTGGCGATAGAATTGATGGTTTTCACGGTGGCCATGTTGGAGGAACTTAACAAAAGAATTGTCAATAAAATCTTTTGTTATATCCTCCAACATGGCCGCCGTATCTTTTGTTATTTAATTCTCTTGGGAATGGTTGAATGTTGAATAGATTTTATGCAATCAAAAGTTTGCTGTTGTAAGAGTGAGAGGTTACTCGAGAGGAAAGATAAACCTGCTCGTTTACTTTTTTAGTTGAATATTTTTGTTCTTAATAAATGAATACTGCCGGTTATCTTATAAAGAACGTGTGAAAATTAATAATAGAAAGGTTATCCATCTAGTCATTAAAGCACTTGTACTGGACTCGTATCGGTAAATTATCACAAATCATTTAATTCATGTCTCTTATGTGAAGATTATTTTCTTTAAAAAAGCAGATTACTTGCGCGCGTCAACAGCACACAAAAAAAATATATGTTCGTGATCCGACAATTTCTCTCTTAAAATAGTAATTAAAAAAAAACACCTGAAAATCGCTTTTAAAAAGCGCATATTTCAACAAAATTGCAATCAGTTTAAAAATTGCTTCGTTTGCATACCCATAAACATCCTAAATTTGTATCTTGTAACAGCCAAACGATTCAAAACCGCTTTTTAAGGAGAATTTGAATGAAATTCGGCAGTCTTGGAGAGAAAACTTCATGGTTTTAGTGAAAGGCGCCTTGTTATAAGTACTTACTATTTGTTGATCTTCAGTTAAAAGGTTTGTCATTCAGAATATCATTCAAAGGACATATGCAATAGGTACTTTAATTTTGTCTTGTCGATTGATTGCTCTGCAAAGCTAATGCAGTTACTTTCTCGCAGATTAGAAGGACGAATGATGTAATTTTGTAGAGTGTATAGCAATAGTCAAACATGCCTCTGAAAAATCGATCTAAGATAGATCATTCGTATGATTGAAGAATTTTTTCGAGTAAAGAAAATATGGTAGATAAATAGACAATAAGAATCATTGCTTAAAAATAGTTATTATTATTTTTAAGCACTTTTAGCATAGTACAAACAATTTATTAAGGGAACCTTAAATCAAATACATTCTTGCGTTTCCTAAAAAGGCGCGAAAATTTCGCACGCGCGTTGCATATAGTTATCACGGAAAATGGAGTTTAACCAATCACAGTATTTTACGTGTATTCCGTCATATTATCTCGATGGTATCACATCTCCCTATTTTAGTCACGTGGCGATCCACTATTTTGCGATATTGGGCTGCAAATAAACTTATTCTTGTGGCACTATAGTGGTCTTTTTATTGAAAAATATATATATTTGTGGTGTGATGTCGATATAATAAAACATCTATAGGATTCATCCTCGCCCATTATGACAGATATGACAGAAGTCTCGACTTCAATATTCTGCCACAATGGGCGAGGATTAACTCAATAATAGTATATTATTATTGGCGGAGACTCCTTTTTTCTTCTCCTTTTTCTTCTTGTTCTTCTTGTTCTTCTTGTTCTTCTTGTTCTTCTTGTTCTT